TATGTAGTCTGTTAGACTAGTTTAAGTGTTTGTGTAGTTAATAAAACCTTACTTGTATCACACTTGACGTGGTTCATTGTTTGCTTATAACTGGAGTCACTTAATCATGCAGATTTATGCTACAAGCTTTTGTAGAATTGTACAGTAAGAAAGTTATTTCCCTTAACCAGGAAATTAACGTTCTTAGAATTGACAAGACAGTTGACCCTGAGAGGTCAGCTAAATATCTACAGCGGATCTAAATATTCATAATTAATTATAACTAGTTATGATTAATTATTCATATTTCCTCATGAGCTGATTCGTTACATATTACTATCTGCACCTCAAAGCTATTGGCTGTCATCAGACATTTTTCTTTTGACATTTGATATCAAATCATGGCATGTTGTTTAGTTGTGCAAAAGCTTATTGTATATTTATACTTCAGACACAAAGACCATACATTTCTGTTATATTGTCTGTATAAGGTTCTAGGAGCACAACTGTAAATTAAGTTAAAGGGGTCCTATTATGCTCTTTTACAAAGTCTTGATTTTGTTTTGGGGGTGTACTAGAACAGGCTCTCATACTAGGTTGTTCGAAAAACACATTATTTTTTTAACATATTTTACATTATTACAACACCTCTCTCCCCAGTCTGGCATGAACGGATTGAATAGTTCCTGTATCAAATGAAGGCCCACCTTCTGAAATACGAAATGTGTTGTGATTGGTTAGCTGGGCCAGTGTGTGTTGTGATTGGCACCACTCGATGCCTGGTCGGGAAATGTCATGCCCCTAACCATAGCCGCCTGCGAGTGTAAATACAGTGTAAATATTGCGTCAAATTTAAATCAATTTGAGCGCGATTTAAACCCAGATGATTGTAACCACTCTAAGTTCGTCTGTCTTGGGAAAGCTAGCGTGTCTCCGACATAGTGATAACACCCGTTGCCTTCTCTAGTGCAGCTCAACCAGGTCTTGTCCCATTCGTCCATATTTGTGATATCACAAATCCCGGAACATATGCGTTGTAGTCCAAACGAGTCGTTCGTTGTAGTTTTTGAAAAGTGATTTCTGTTAAATAAAATATCTCCTTTTGAAGTGGACTTTGAGCTTTGCAACTTTGCAGATCTTTTTTATGCTCAAACAGCAACATTACAGACTAACTAAAGCTGAAATAGTGAAAAAGCATAATAGGACCCCTTTAAAAGGTGCACTCAGTAACTGCAGTGGTGGTGGTACTTCAGGACAGGACTGATCTGTATTAGCATTAGCTGATGAAACGCATTACTTCACTGTTCAGCCACAAACATGTATGTCTGTTCTCTTGAGAAAAGAAAGAATATTGTGCAAAATTGACTTGGCACTTCCCTATATGTCCACTGATTTTATGTAAACGAAGTTTTCACAGACTACCCAGCTGCTATTTATACCCATGTGAGGTCACTGCTGCTGTGTCAGTCATCTCTGACTCACAGCGTGAAGCCAAAGTAACAAAACAATTAATGTACAGTAATTATCAGCTCTCAAGACGGAATGTAAAACACAGCTGGAGGCCAAATCTAATTTTCAGTGTAACATTTCAAGGCCTTGGCCATGAGCACATGCTAACAAATAGATGCAAATAAAAAAAATATGCTGTCATCAGCTGTCGTGTAGTGTCTCTGTGTTGCAGGACAGTGAATCAGGAGCAACAAAGGGAGGGGGAGTATTTCCAAAAACTCTGTCTACAGTTAGCGAAAGTATAAAGCAAGCAGTAAACAAATTTACTGTGGCTGGGAATGCTCCAGAGTTTTCTGAAAGTTCTGAGTTGCACTGTGCATTCATACAATAAGGAGAGAACATTTGTTTCTGAACAGTGCTTAATAACAGCTTATTGAAAACATCTTTGCATTTTAAATCCATGTTTACTTTTTGAGCAGTATTTTTTCTTGTGTTTTTTTTTTTTTTTTAATGGAACGTTGGAATTTCCTGTTGGCAAATATTAAGTAAAAATACTACTACTACTCCTTCTGTTTCTTTTTTTAGTGTACATCTCTGTGTATATGTTTCTGCATGTAATTATGGTGGCCCAGAGAGATCAACGCGCTGCAAATTAAAAAAAACACATGCAAATAGAAAAAACACCAGCAAATTAAGAAAACGTCTTCATCAATTTGACAACACACGCGCTGCTAATTCTCAGGTAACACTTTATTTCGATAGTCCACTTTAGACATTCTATTAACAGTAAGTAACTTTGCAACTACATGTCAACTAGCAGTTAGTAGAGTATTAGTAGACTGTCTGCTTAATATCTTCTAACACTTTCTTTGTCAACTTATTCTACTAACCCTAAACCTACCCTAACAGTCTACTCTGAGAGTTAGTATACATGTAGTTGCAAATTAATGAGAATTAGTTGACATGTAGTTACAAAGTTACTTATAGTTAATAGAATGTCTAAAGTGGACTATCGAAATAAAGTGTAACCAATTCTCCTAACACAACCAAATACAGAAACGTGCTGCAAATTCTCACAACACAAACAAAGAAATGCTCTGCAAATACAAAACAAACAAACAAAAACAGAAACGCACTGCAAATATGCACAGACCACATCGGAAATGTTTAAGGGAAGCGTGTTTCTTTGTTTGTGTTGTGAGTATCTGTAGCGCATTTCTGTATTTGGTTCTGTTGTGAGAATTTGCAGCGTGTGTGTTGTCAAATTGATGAAGATGTTTTCTTAATTTGCAGGTGTTTTTTTCTATTTGCATGAGTTTTTTTTTCATTTGCAGTGCGTTGAGCTCTCTCGGCCACCATATGTAATGCATACCAGAGACTAACAACAACAACAAACCATGCTTCTAACCACAGCAACATGAACTATGTTTGTAACAATGAAACACGCAACCATAGTTGGTTAATGAAATACACACCTGTTACTAACTCTACATAAGTCAGCAAAATTGTACCTGATCTTCCATCCCTCTGGAAGTCCACATGATACCACTCTCCGTCATTCACTTTTTTGTTCACCAACAGTGTCTTGATTGTGCCTGATCCCATATCCAGCAGCAGATACAAAAGACCATCCAGCATCTCAATGGCAAAAAAGTCAACCTTAAGTGTGAGAGGGCTCTTGGCCTTTTTTGTCTGTTGCTTAGGTTTCCCATGGCTAAAAAGGAGAAGTCCATTGGGCTCAGTGGTACGGAAGTCAAAGGAAATAGAACCAGTTTTCTTAGTGTTCCATTTAGGAAGTATGATGAACGATTCTGGTGTCTCAAAAGTGATGGGATCTAATGTGGCAACATTCTCACACTTAAAGGCAACAACTCCATGGATCTTCATTTTGGGGTCACCTTCAAAAGCCAGTCTGGACAGCTCCATTCGAACGTCATTGTTTTTATACACAACCTATAAAAATATAACGATGTCAGTTGAACAGAAATACTTTGATAAACTTTTGATCTAAACTGTGTTTGCAGAACCATTACATCAATGAGAGGATAGACTGACAGCATATAGTGTATTTTTCACCAAAATTAAATAAGATATTAAAACAAGTTAATAAATTAACGTCCTATTCAGGTAGGTGGTGTTATTTATGACTTTGGGAGAACTATGGAACAGCCATTAAAAAAATATATAATAATAATAATAATAAATCATTGTTTCAACCACTACTCTAAAAATAATTGCATAGCTTTAATATTTAGCCATAGAAGGGCTTTGTCACTGTTGCTGTTTTGCTTAGTTGTCATGGTTTCTAATTTGATTTCATTATCTCATCTCATAGGTGTTCTTTGCTATCCGGTGTATTTAAGTTCCTCTGTTTGCCTCATTGGTTATCTGGTCTTGTCAGTGTATGGGTGTGTTTAACTTACCTGCCTTGCTTTATATGTACCTGTGGATATTATTAAACTATTTGAACCTTCATCTTTGTCACCGAACCCCAGTGATTTATTATGACATACCTTTTTGCATCGTACATTTAGTGTATTTTTGTGTTATTCTTTTCCATCATCATCATGGTCATTAATGGACTAC